GGGAACACATGCCCCACCCTACCCCTTCCTGGTGGCCAGAGCTCAGTCTGGCCCTTTGGAGTTGACTTGATGCAACCCGGTTTCCAGGGAGATGGTGGAGCAAGAAGTGCCAGCTCCACCTCCCAATCCACTTCCCTTTTCCCCAAATCTGTGGGACCTCACTGTTCTTCTACCATGTGACAGCATTGTGTCATAGCAGCCCTTGTATACAAACAAGCCGGACTATTTAAATGTCATTGTGAGAGAGATGCTGCCTGCTCTAATTTACATATCTATTCAGACCCTACTCCTTTCTTGATCTTGCCAGAAAAAGTTTCTCTTCCTCTTCCTCGTCTTGGCTCTCCCTCTCCGTGCAGAGCTGGAGAACCATATGCAAAGTTTTATTTCTGTTGTAGTATAAAGATGTGAGTCATCAAGTTCCTACAGAGACAGAGAATTAGAATGACTATATAACTTATGGCATATGCTCACTCATCATCACATTGCAAATGTCATATGCTGCTGGCCACTAAATGCTAGATTCTCTCAAAGCCTACACATAAATTCTCCCTACTGCCAAACAATACAATATTTTTTCGTCTTGCAAAGCTAAGGTACCCTTGGTGCTTTTAATCTTCAAAATCAGGTCCCAGTTGAATAAAAAAAAAAAAAACAATTCTAAGTGGGCAGGGGAACTGACCCAAAATGATAAAGTGCAACCAGTTCCCACTCATGTGAAATATGGATTAGGTCACAAATAAGATTATATTCATCACCAAACCCCACAAGAACGCTCTGATTAAGTTAAAGGAGTCCAGAAACTCAAGTTGAGAACTAAGACTGAGTTGGGTTGAAATTTCCAACCCCTCCCTAAAGACTTGGCAACCTGTTCCGAATCACAACTGAAACCAAGTTGAAGGGACATCTGTTTTCTATGTGTTCGGCATTGCAGAGAAGAATGACAGATTAGAGATAAATACTGTTGTGGGTGGGAGGGGGGACCAAGAAAATTAGAATCATCTACCTGCTCACAAACTCCTATAACTCAATAAATACCATCAGGGAAAAAGAAAGAAGGGAAGAAAGAAAGGGAGGGAGGAAGGAGAAAGGAAAATAAATGGAGGAATTATTCTTTTTCCTGCAAGAATTGACACTTCGGTGAGCAAAACGCTGCTGCATTTGAGATGAATATTCATCTCAAACTTTGGCTTGTCTGAGAGACAGGCAGTGAGCATTCTGCTTGAAGTCTGGCAACAAAGGCTAGGCATTAAACCTACATATTCAGCATAATACCAAGGTGCCATTTTCTGAGCCTTAATGGACTATCAGGATCATTTCATGAGTAGATATTACAAGCTTTCCCTTGATCCCTTATTCTATTTTAATGCAAGTTAGAGTAACACATAGCATCTACCTAACTTCTAGTACAGGTATCCAGAGTTAGTAAGGGAAAGAGAATGAGATCATTAGGTAATTAAATTATACTCTTTACACTAGAAACCTAGGGTTCTGAAATTTCTCTTTCAAAACCAACTCTGGTTATTATTAACAACAATAGCAGTAAGACCAGTATTAATGATGGGAGTCACAGTGACAGAGCAGTATGGTAGCAGTACTAGTAATAATGATGGGAGTAGGCAAAATAATAGCAGAGTAATATTAACAGTAGGACTAATACTATTATTTATACAGTACTTCCTAAGTACTAGACACTATTCAAGTGTTTTAAATATAATATTAATGTATTTAATCCTCCTGTCACTCCTCTGAGGTACGTAAGCTATTATTAGTACTCCCGTTTTAACAGATGCTTTCAACAATATCTCTTTGTTATTTCTGTTGTTATTACCAACTACAGCTAGCTTTCAAAGAAAATATTTGGAACTCAAAGGAAAGGAAACACAGCCTGTCCAAGGTCACCCAGCTAGAAGGCACTAGATGCAGCCTCCAAGCCCAGGCTGTTGAGCCCAGGCTGTCGAGCCCCGAAGTCTGACCTCCTAACTGCGCTGTACTTACTGCCCCTTTGCTTAGGAAGGCCTTCCAGAGCAGGAATGTGGATGGAAGGTAGGCCCCTGCCTGCCAGGAGTCAGAGTTAATACTTAAAGTTTGCTGTTTCCTTTAGGAGTCTCCCCAAACCCACATTAAGACAAGCCGCCTGCTCGTACAGCTATAAAAAAGTCACTGCAAGTGTTACTGAACTGTTCCCACATGGTCTGTGACCTCCATTAGGGCTTTCACCTTTGCCAGCTAAGGCAGGAGCTGGGAATGGGGGAGGAGTGAGGTGCAAGCCAGGTTCCCAGGCCACCATTTCCTGCCCAGTAACACAGCCCTCAAATAGCCACGGCTGCAGGCTGAGAAATTCCTCACTAAGGAGTTTTCTCCCAGAGCTTGTTCCTTTAGTTTTCTCGCCATCCGGCCAACCCATGACTCAAGGGAGACTCAGGCCCAAGGAGGAGTGACAAGTGGCAAAGTTTGTTTATTAACCTGCTGCGCCCAAGGGAACATTTTTCTGAAATGGTGAAATTCTTGACTACTCAAAAGAAAAAAGAAAGGGCCTGTGGGAAATTTAATCACCAACTGAACAAAAGTGAAAAACAAAGCCCTGCCAATGAGGATGTTGCCGAAGACAATGGGGCCCCTGAAGGAGATGCAATTGTCTCCAGATAACAACCCCCTCGGGAATGCAGCTCACACTAAGTACTGCATTATTGGCTATATTAGCCCAGGAATCTCTGTTCACCGGGCAACTGCCGGCCGAACCATCTGCTCCTGCTCCTCGGATCCCCCCCCATTTGCAGACACGGCATTTGCATTTCAAGAGGAACCTTGGGGGAGCAAGGGGGAAAAGTCTCTATCTCTCCCTGGAGCAAATACCTTTTTGTGTAGCCTGGGAGGGGAAGCTCTCCTTTCCGTGAAACCGAACTCCTCAATTGAAAGGAGATAGGCCACTTCAATAATGCACGCAGCTCCAGGGCCCCCATCCTAGAACCACACACGCCCCATTAGGGTTTTCAGGTTTTCACATTCTCCAATTGTACAGTGTCAAGAATAATGCCGAACTGTCTCTAGGGCCTGAGGGGACTCTACTTTCTTAAGGAAGTCCTCCTTTTTCTTATCCCATAGAACAAAGACAAAAGCTGGTATTTTGTACTGATATTTAGCTTAAAATATACCACCACTTTCAGACTGTGATCTTCTTTGAGGACTTGATCTAGGTAGGGGCTAGAGTAATGGAGACATGTCAAAATTCAATAGGATGTGTGCCCTAAAGATTTGTGCACCTTCCTGTATGTAACTTACACCACAGTACATTTTTAAAGCAGAGTATGCCAATGTCAGTGACAATCAAGGATATTGGGAATAAACCATTTGCCTTCTGAAATTTTAAGATTGCTCTGCTCCCATAGCCTCCCCTCACCACCTTCCACACCCAAGATCTCTCCTAAGAATTTTCAAGTTCAAGAACGTGAAAAATACAGTTCTCCAACTCTTAACTAAGCCAGTGACTACAATGTCTCCTGTGTGTCCCGGGAGCCCGACTATGCAGCACAGAGAGAGCACCTGTCACACCCCAAGCTCTTCCAGCCACTTATCAAAAATAAAAAGCCAAGGTCTTTTTCTCATCTGGCCATGGGCTCTCGAATTATGAGGGACACGGTTGGGGCTCTTAGCAATAGAGCCCCGGATGTGTCCTTCTGTTTATTTAACCCTATTTTTAAATAGATGTTTCTAAACTCTGCCTAACACTCTTGCTTGATGGAAACGGGTTAACCCTGTAAGGCGCAGGCCTCTGGCGGAGCATTAGAGCAGCATTAAGGGAGCCGTGGTTTCTGCCGGCTGATCAGCAGGTTTAAATCTGAACCATGGTAGCCCTGTTACCCCAGCAGCATCTTAAGATCCGCAGTGCCACAGAGGGTGTCGCTAAGTGACAGTCTGAGCATTAACTGGCTTCACCATTGCTGGGTCACGACGAAACGGTATGTTTCTTCCTTTGAACTAACAGCTAAGGAGCGCTGTCTGCCACCGAGGAGAAGAGGGGCAGATTTGCCTCGTGCTAAAGACTCAAGAAAGGCTGTCCAGAGAAACAGGCTCATTGCACGGATCACTGGGAGGTCACCTTTACCCTCTTGCGCCCTCCAAGCGTCCCAACACCTCGTCCCACCCCACCCCACCCCCACACACACACACGTCATTTCGGGAGCGCAGGGCTACCAAGCTGCTTCTACAGATAGATATCGAGAATCAGGATCACCCAGCTAACGCTTGCTTCCTGGACTGAGCCGAGAGCTCCAGTGATTTCCCTGGCCTGCCACCGAGTCATTGAAGAAGTGAAATATGCCAACGGGGCCGGGTACCCGGCACCTGGGAGCCCGCCCCCTCTGGGCTGGAGTGGGGGCTGTCAATGGCTGGACAACGTCTATGCGGCTGGCACGCTCGAAGGTGGGTCTTGCAGGTTCCCGGCCCAGTGCGCGGTGCCAGCCTCACACCTGACCCGGTACCAGGAACACAGCCAGAGGCTCCAGTGGGTATGCGCTTCCGCGGAGACACTGCCGACTCCGCTCCGGAAGGGCAGGGTGGGGGGCCAAAAGGCGGAAGGTAGGACCTGCGGCAAGACCCCCGAAATGCGGCGTCCGCAAGGACTCTGGGGGCTCACGCTTCCTGCGCCTTTGCGGCGCTTCTGCTCGAACCGCGCTTCCCGTGGCTGCGCCGGGGAGCGGCGGGAGCCGAGATTTGCGCGGCTGGCGGACAGGAGGGATGGAGGTGCAGGGAACCGCTTCCTGGCCCCGGCACGCGCAGCTACACTGCAGTGTCCCGCATTCGCTCCCGCTCTCACCCGAGACTCCAGTGCCAAAGCGCCAGGGGATGCAGCGCGCCTGAGGCCCTGGAGGGCGACCCAAAGCAGCTGGCAAAAGAAAGCGCCAGGGGAGGCGAGGCTGGACTTGTAGTCCGTGGGGTGGGAGACAGGGGGTCGGTGGCCCCGGGAGCCCCTGCCAGGCCGCCCACCAGCCGCGAGCACCTACCTCGATCCACTTCTGCGCCTCGGAGAAGGCGGGCTCGGGGGGCGGCTCAGGTTGCAGGGGCTGAAGAGCTTCCAGACCGAGAGCGGGACAAGCCATTTGCGAAGCCCCGCGTCCACCCGAGCGCTGGGCCGCCTGGGTGAGAACGGCCGTCGCTGCCGCTGGAGCGCGCTCCCCGCCCCTTCCCGCCCACCCTCTTTCCCCCTCCCCTGCACGCCCCTCCCCCGTCGGTGCAGGTCTCCGCGGCGGAGAGCAGAGCTTGCTGCTGGAGGACGCCGCGGCAGCTGTTCCCAGCGCCGCCTGGCCTCGGCCGCGCCTGGAGTCCCCGCGGGAGCGAGCGTGGAGGTGCCGGGAGCTCCCTCTGCTTTCCACCTTCTCTGGCCGCCCCGCCTCCGCCAGGGACCGGAGGGGTGGGGTGCCAGCTACCAACTAAAAATAACCAAGAGGGAGGGCTGGGTGTCTGCCTCCCTTCCCACAACCGGACCTGGAGAGGGACTCGGCCAGCCCCCCTGCACGTCCCGGCGCAGGGCTGCCTGCGGAGGGGAGGGCAAAACGGGCAGCACCTGGGTGATGCGCACGGAGCCGGGTGCACAAGTCCCCGGAGAGCCGGCGCTGCTGCAACGAGGCAGGAGGTCGCGCGGGTAGTGGCCGAGCCGCACCTGCTGTCCCTCCTACTGCAGAAATGGGGGCAAGAGGGCAGCCCTCTGACCCGGCACCAGGGAGGGTTCAGTCACCTGATATTTTTGTAAGAAAGACGACCCTTATAAGCCTTTTTTTCTCTGGGCAAGCTACCTGTGTCCCAGTCTGTTATAATGCATTCGACCCGTAAGTATTGTGCACCGAGGTAGTTGCTGAGAACCCAGTGATGAAAAAAGAAGGAAAAAGAGAGAACAACTCGAAGTCCTAGCCTTTAAAATAATTATATTCTAGAGGGAATTAGAGGGGGGCGGGCAGACAATCAACATGTAGAAGAAAAGAAGGCCCGGTAATTGTGAAGAGTGATATACAGGGTCTGGCACAAATAACGCCCCTGTTTTATGAGCTGCTAATCTATACCAAATCTTTTATTATAAAATCATAAGCATGTAATTCTGTAACACAGCAACATCACACTCAAGCACATCATATAACATTTTCGGTGAAATGTTCAAATTACTGTCCATCTCGTGCAGGACATTCATGTACCCCACCAACCACACTCAATGGTGTTACTTCTGCTGGACCCCATATATTAAGTAGAAGAAGAGAAGATGAACTATGACCTGGGAAAAGAGAGTGTTGGCTAAGTCCATCACCTCTCCACCCTCCACCTGGGAGACGGACTGACCTGTGTGTCCAGGTTCCATGAATGGGAGGGAGGCAGGAAGGAGATCAGGGGGTAGAGGAGAGGGAAGTGGGTAGTTATGTTGTCCGCCCTGCAAACGTGAGGGGATTGGCTGCACCATTCAGCTCAGGGCTGCATGCAGCTCTGTTTGGGGCCTCTGGGTTCCCTGATGGTTCCCTGTCTCCTCTTGTCACACCACACTTCCCCAGGCCTGGTGGTGGTAAAGGCTTCCCCATCCCATTCTGGTTTCCCCACCCTGCCCACTTCCTCCCAATGGTCCCATAATAAACTCTTCTTAGCTGCCCCTATTAGAACACGCCTTCTGTTTTTGCATGAGAGCCCAACTGATGATCAAGGAAGGTTTTTCTGACAAGACAGTGTGATGAGATGACATGAATGGAAGAGAAGTTAACCATGCAACAATCTGGGGACATATTTCCAGGTGGGTGCAAACGCCTTCAGGTAGGAATGAGCTGGATGGGGATCACGGACCCCACAAGCTGGAGCTTGGAGAGGAAAGAACCAGGTGGGAATGATAGCATGGGAGAGGCAGGCCAGGTCCCAAGAACGGTGGGGGTGGGGAGGGTGTTATGTGAGACCACGGTGAGAATGTATTGCGTGGGCATCCACTGGTGAGCCCAGCACTGGGTATATAATAGCTCAATGCTTTGAGCTAACTTAAAGCAAATGGATTCACATTTCAGAATGGCTGCTGGCAAGATGGGTAGGACAGGGCAGGAAGTCCTGTGGGTGCCTCAGCAGCAAAGTCTCTGTTCCTGTTCAGAACTCAAGTTTAGCCTTTGTTCAACTCTGCTGCTTTGATGGGGGATGGATGGAACAAAAAACAGACCTGAAATTCCACCATTACTGGCCTTGGAGTCAGACAGCCCTCGGTTTATTTACTTTTAAAACACTTATATGGCACTTGCATGGTGCCAGGCACTCTTCTAAGTGCATTACAAATAATTGACTAACTCATTCCTTATTCCAAGCCTGTACGATAGACTATTATCCCCATGAGGAAACCAGGAAGCAGAGAGGGGTGTCACGCAGCTGGTGAACAGGGAAGCCCGGATTCAAGCCCAGACAGCCCGGCGCCAGATCTGCTCTTCACCGCACACCAAGCTGCCTTGCCTGTCCCGGTCCAGACTCTGCCACTTACAAATTGTGCCTCAGTTTCCTCCTCTCAGATGAGGTTGAAATGGCAACATTTCAGCACTATCACTGTGAGGAGGAAACAGTATTTCTGAATGCGAAAAGACAGAAGGCAGGCCTGGCACATAGTTAGCACCCAGTGCAGGCCAGGTGCCCAGCCCTTCTGTGCTGCCTTCCAGAAAAGAGGAGACGGAGGAGAAGTTACCAAGAAGGGTAAAGAAAGCAGATGAAGGAAAAGGGCTAATAAAATGCAGTCAGAAGATGACATTGTCTTCAAGAAGAAACATGGCAGAGTAAATAATCCACACAATGACTCCAGCACACCAGCACAGGGGCTGCACTAACGCAGCTCCCACTGCATGCAGTAGCTGCAAGAGGGAAGCCTGGTGATCTAAATGATGTGCCGGAATCCATCTGAAAACCAAGCGTTAGGATTAAACCTACGATATCTCTGAAATAGCTGCTATTGAAATTAACATTCAACTAAAACTTTTTTTCTCTCAGTGAAAATACTCTTTTAAGGTTTATAATTGCAAAGGAACATCTGCTTTTTCTGAACTCGAACAAATTCAATAACAAATTCATATAGGTTACCAAAGACTGGAAGATTTACAACCATAAGAAAATTCAACCCCGGTGCCATCATCCATATATTTTACATGCCATTGTTAAGCACCTACTATGCAGAAGAGATTGTACTAGCATCGGAAGAATCCACAAAAGTACACAGACTTTACCCTTTAGGAGATAATAATTTTGTTCCTGAAATGATATTTTCATTTCTGCATAATGTTGTTTCCAGTATAATGTAATATATATCCACTGGAGAAAATTGGAAAGATATAATGAAGAAAACAAATCCAGAAGAAACCCTACAATTCAAAAATCATCACTACTTGGGGAATATGAAGAAACATTTTGATTGGCAAACAATAACCCTAAGACAAGGTACTCTACAATAAATGCCAAATGGGAGACACGGTGTATTTAAAGAGCATGGATTTTTTATAATAGATTTATGGAGATATTACTTACATACTACACAACCCACTCATTTAGAGTACAATTCAGTGTTTTTTAGCATATTCTCAGAGCTGTGCAACCACCACCACAATTAATCTGGTATATTTTCATCTACCCAAAAAGCAATCCCATACATTTAGTAGTCATCCCCCAAGCGCCCCTTGGCCCCGAGTCCTGGCAACCCCTATTCTGCTTTCTGCCTCCTAAATTTGCCTACGCTGGGCATTTCATGTAGATGGTGTCATATAATGTGTAGCCCTTTGTGTGTGGCTTCTTCCACATAGCAGAACGTGTCCGTCCATGTTGCAGCATGCCTCCAGACTTCACCCCTTTTCATGGACAAAGAAATTGCCATCATATGGCTAGGCCACATTTTGTATAGTCATTCATCAGTTGGTGGACATTTGGGTTGTTTCAATTTTGGGGTTATGGTGAATAATGCTGCTATCAATACTCACATACATGTTTTTGTGTGGACATATGTTTTCATTTCTCTTGGGAGTATGCCAAGAAGAAGAACTGCTGGGTCATATGATAACTCTGTTTAAACTTTTGATAAACTACCAGACTGTTTTTCAAAGTGGCTGCACAATTCTGCACTCCCACCAGCAATGTATAAGGGTTTCAATTTCTTCACATGCTTTCCTACACTTGTTATCATCTGACTTTTTATCATAACCATCCTACTGGCATCTCATTGTGGTTTCAATTTTCATTTTCCTGATGACCAATGCTGCTGAGTATTTTTTATGTACATAGTGATCATTTGAACATCTTCTTGGGAGAAATGTCCATTCATATCCTTTGTCCATTTTTAATTGGGTCATTTCTCATCATTGAATTATAAAAGTTCTTTTTATATTCTAGAAAGGAGTACCTTATCAGATGTATGATTTGCAAGTATTTTCTCCCAGTCTGTAGTGTTGACTTTTCACTTTCTTAATACTGTCTTTTGAAGCACAAAGTTTTAATTTTGATGAAGTCTAATGTATATATATTTTTTTCTTTTGTTGCTTATGCTTTTGGTGTCATATCTCAGAAAGCACTGCCTAATCCAAGGTCATGAAGATTTATGCCTATGTTTTCTTCTAACAGTTCTACAGTTGGTCACTCTTACATTTGGCTATTTAATCCACTTTTAGTTATTTTTTGTAAAAACATGAGTTTTGAGATCAGACAAATAGAGTAATAGTCTGGGTCTTCTGAGAAAAGTGGAATTTTAAAGATGGAAGGGTTTAATTAGGGAAATGACTGTAAGAGAAAATGCAGATGAAGCCAGAGTATGCTAGGAAAGCAGTTGGAACACGATGCAAGTCTGACCTGTAGTGAGGAGAGGGAAAGGAAGGTCGGGTAGATGCATGTGGGCTGCCCCTCAGTCTAAGGAAGACTCGGCAAAGCCATTGGGAGGTTCGTGAGCCATCACCCACTAGAGGTGTCCCAGTTCTCAAAAGAAGGAACCTTAGAATCCCTGCTATGTTTGGTAACTGGCTGGGAGCCACCTGGAAAGTGCAGCTCAATGCAAACATGGCAATGGACTTTGAGGCACCTGGTCAGTTAAGCTCCCTGATGGGCTCATTTCATGGTTGCTACACTTAAGTTTGAATCCAGCCCTGTCACTCATTATGTTGCATGAGAAAAAATGTTGTTTAACCTCTCTGCATCTCAGTTTAATTAATAAAGCACCTGTTTTTCCTAAATGCCTAGCACTTAGAAATCAGTGGTTATAAATAACCTTGATGATATTGTGTATTAAAATATTTATATCTTTTAATAGAGAAAATTAGATAAATCAATTGGACAAAAACTAACTTTAAATTTCATAATATGTAAGACTTTGAAGACTTATGGCTGATGGTACAAAAGTGTACTAAATTACTCATCTTCCAAAGTCTGACTGAAACGTCACATTTCTGGTGACTTCCTTAGCAACCAAGTCAACATAGCAAAGGGAGTATAAGAATCTTTAGGAAGGGTTTTGAATTCAGCAGTACTTTGATTTTTTAAAGCCATTTAAAAAGAATGCAAGAGTGCAAATGACAATTTTAGTTTCCCAAGTTATGACAAATTAAATAACTTTCCTGCTACAAAAACTCACATAAATGCCACACAAAATATAAAAAATATTTTTTGCATGCATAGCTGAGTTCAAAAGAAATTAACAGAAATTTCCCAGGAAACAGAATGGAGAGGAAACATAAAACAAAAGCAGTAAGCTCTTGAATCAACCCTTGACTGCCCTACGGAGAGACATAGTGAACAGTGGCTGCTAGACCCAGACACTCAGAGCCAGGGTTTTAGTATGAGAAGCCGAGGCCCTGGGCCTATGTCACGTGGAGAACTGAAACTGAGCCACAACACACACACACACACACACACACACACACACACACACACACTACTCCCACAGAGAAAGAATGAGTCAAAAAATATTCCACCATCACTACAGAAGGAGATAATAAGGACAACAAGGAAGCTTCATTGTCTTGACCTCAGCACTAGGTTGATGGGGTGTAAGTGAACCTCCCTTGAGAATATGTACACAAAAGCCTGGTGTTTTTTATAAACAACATACTCATGATTCAGAGGCCCCCCGTACTAAGGAATTAACCTAAAATTTGGGCTAGGACCACTTGGGCACTTAGAAGAAACAAATATAAAATCCCTTTGGAAGACATGCCCTCCATGTAAGCCTCACAGGACATCCACAGACAAACTCTGCTGAAGTCGAGCGTATAATCCAAAGGTACAAAATACATGGAAAAACCATACAACCTAAACAAAATTCACGAGACACAGCAAAGAACCATATAAGGTTCCCCAGAAATTCATTTAACAGAGCTACCAGAGTTTTATACTGGCTATAAAATAAATTTTAAAAGATTAAAGACATTATCAGATAATGAATCAAAACAGAAGAAAATAACAGCATACAATAAGAAACATAGATATTGAAAGAGTATTAAGAACAACTAGAAAAGTATAGTCATAAATTTAAAACTTAAAGAATGGTTTGAAGCACAGGTTGGACACAAGTGAAGAGAGAATTTGTGAACTGGAAGACAGATCTTTGGAAATAATGTGAAATGAAGAAATAGGAAAAATATTAAAGAGGGGTTAAGAGAATATGAATGTCCCACAAAACAATTCTTAGGAATTGTACAAGGAGAGAATGGAGAAGATGAAGAGAGGCAATATTTCCAAAGATACTGACTAGAATTGTTTAGAATTAATGAAATATATAAATCATTACATTCAGAAAGCATGAGTCCAGGACAAAGTAATATATTTATTTTTTAAAATATTACTTAATGACAATGAAAAACACTGAGATAACTGTGTATTTTTATCTCTATGATACTGTACTGTGGTTAGATGTATAGTAGAAATGAGTCCTTTTCTTAGACACTGGCACTGCCATGGCTTATCACCAAGTAAATGTGGGATGGGTGACTGAATGAATGACAACGGCCAAATATAATCTATAGCAGATCGTTTGAGACAATCTACAGTGCAAGTCAGGTTCCCTTCTAACATTTATTTTTTAATTTTTTAAATTTTTTAAAATTATTGTATTGTTGTTCAAGTACAGTTGTCTGCATTTACCCCCCCACTCCCCTCGACCCCAGCCATCCCCACCTCACTCACTCCCCTGCTTTCACCCCCCTTCCTTTTGTCCATGTGTCCTTTATAGTTGTTCCTGAAAACCCTTCATTCTTTTCCCCCCATTATCCCCTCCCGTCTCCCCTCTGGTTACTGTCAGACTGTCCTTAATTTTAATGTCTCTGGTTATATTTTGCTTGCTTGTTTGTTTTGTTGATTAGGTTCCACTTAATATTTTTAATTTTTAAATTGTATTTGTTTTATAAATTTGTAAGGAGATTTCCTAAGAGAAATGCATGTAAAAAATACAGTGAGATAGAACTTCCAAACTATTGATTTTCTGGGTACTGCAATAAGTAACTCCCTAAAATATGAAGAGTCGTGTCATTCTCTGAGTTTAAAAATTCTTATCTCTTTCAAAGTTTCCTCTCTTCTGGGACTCCTGTTGGTTGTAGTTGTTCCTACTGGCAGCTCTCAGTGTCTCATCTTTTCTCTCATATTTTTCACCTCCTGGTCTTTCTGCTCAATGTTCAAGCTCTTTCCTTAACCTTACTTTCTGGTCTCTCTGCTGAGTTTTTACTTTTAGTAACTATGATTTTTATCACTAGGAGTTTGTGTTCTTTGAATATTGCTTTTTCTTAGAAAAATAATCTTGTTTTGTGGATTATATTAACTCCTTAAAACTGAATATCTTAGAAATTAAAATGTTTTTTCTTATGGGTAATGGAAATGTTTTGCAACTTTGTGGCTGGAGGTTATACAGTTATATAAATATTCAGTGAGCTATACATTTATGAGTCTTGAATTTTACTGTCTGTAAATTCTACCTTTAAAAAAAAACGACTTTGCCATTATAGGAGAATGAGTACAAGGGTAGATCTGGGTGTTAATGGGCCTGAAGCTTTTACAAGTTACGAATACAAAATTGGGTTTGAAATTAATTTTTATTTAGAATGATAATAGAAATAAAACAAATTATAGATTTTAACAAGTTGTCAAATACTATAAACTTTACAAAATTCAGAAAAATAAAAAAAATTATTTTTGTTAATTAACTGCCTACCACAGCTCTATAATTCTTTTTCCTCTCATTTTTGAGGTTGCATTTACTTTGATTACCTCTTCATATGAGAGCATTTTGTATCATATTTTATTGAGAGAAGTGACTAAGATTATTCAGTATGGTCTCTAGCTTGGTATATTGGCATTTGGTTTTCTTTTTCCACTTAACTGTTCCTTTATTAGACTGTATATACTCAGGAAAAATAAAATAATAAAAATAACACTATTAATAACAATACAAAAGGACAAAAATAATGGATTAATATTTTTAGTTACATTACTGTATTCTTTAAAATGGGGGAAAAGAGCATGAAAAATTGTTTCCAAAAAGTAAACTGCGAAGTTCAGAGGTTGATTTGCACTGATAATAACAATTGAAGGTATTCAGGTTCTATTTCTTCATTGCTACAGTCACTGTCCTATCATTTATTTAGAACTACTGTGCAAAAGCAGGGTGTATGTGAGCACAGGGATTAGAGACACACCTGTGCTTGCAGGAAAGTAAAGTGAATCTGAACCATTACGAACTTACTCTCAAAAAAACAAGTTTGTCAAACTTAACTCCCT